TTTCTCTTCTCTTTTTCTTTTTCCTTTCTTTTTCTTTCCCCTTCTTTCTCTTTCCCTCCCTCTCTCCTCTTTCTTTTCTCTTCTTACCCAGCCCGGTACGACGGCTTGGTCAGCCCGGTAAAAACCGTCGGGGGAGGGGGGCCAGTCTGCTTATAAGATGAATGGGAATATGAATCATGCAGATCTAGAACCAAATCTAGGTGGTGGGGTCAACATTCCTCCCCCGGGAAAATTTTGATTTCTAGATGGCGGGAAATGACCTTTCTCGACTTTTGAGCTAGGTGTCTAATTACTTTGTTCTTCAAAATTCAAGGTTTTCCCCTCATGAAAACGGTAAGGTAAACTTTCTCAGCAGTCATACAAAAATCTCCAGACATATATTTTTCGCCAAAAAGTGGGGGGGGGGGGCCCGGGCCCCCCGGTCCCCCCGCTTCCGCCGGCCATGATGTATATATGTTCATGTACATGAACTGTTGAATTTTGGCAAAATTCCCATAAAAGATAAAATAACTGGTGAACTTCTGACGAAGCACATGTCAAAACAATTCAGCTTTCGCTGATTCACTACAAAAGGAATATGCCAACCTCGAATCGCGCGAATAAATTCACTTTAATGTAAACCGGATACTAGGCACGTTATATAGGTGTATAATTATATTAGTGCTACAATATCAACATTGTGAAACCAGGTAAGACAAGGCAATTCAATTGCCTTGGTAAGACACGTTAAAGGAGAGAAAGGAATTCAATGCCTACTTTGGATCAAAATTTATTTAAAAAATCATATACAAAAAAAAAAAAAAAATTCTATTTTTTAAATTTTTTTTTTAGGTTAGGCTAGTGCTTTAGAGAGAATTTACTCTGGTGTCGCCGCTTAGTACTGCTAACCTACCTTTTTTGTACTTCATGTTTTGTCTTTTAATGTATTCTGCTGTATATGCCAAATTTAAAATTTAAAAAAAAATTGCCACAATGCCATCGTGTTTATGGCGTTAGGGGGTCAAACACATACTCTATAGATTGTACATAGTAGCAACATACTTTACTTTCTGAAGTGCTAATCAATCTTAACAACGACCAATCAGAATATGTTATTGATCAGTAACACTGTACGTACTAGCCTGGGTTCCAGGCCCTAATTTTGGGTTACTCACTCTTTATTGCACTTAGTGCGCGCCATACCTAATTTAATTGGCGTCCCATACTCGATTTCTTTTTTTCTTATTGTCTCTAAATTAACTTTCTCGTTGGTGGCGCTGTCCAGAATGAGAAAAATAATAAAAAAATAAGAGACTTGTGGCAAGTCTATGTATACATGTCCCGCCATGTAAGTTTACGCTATTTGAGTTCCCACATACAGTATTAGCAACAATATTCAGATGGTGAGGATTAGCTGAAAGGTCCATCGTTTCATCCATACTCCTAAACAACGTGCCACATCTATTTCAAATAATTATTTTCATAACACACGCCAAATTGCTTTGGTATTTACTTCAGAAGTAATTGAAACAAAATTAGAACAGATTTTCATTTATAACAATATTTTAATTGATGAAATTTGCAGCCAAAAAAATACATTTATATTCCACCAAGGCATTTAATATATAAACATGTGTGTAAGTGAAATACAAAAAATATGAAAACATGAGTTTTTAGACCTCATTAAACTTGTGATTATCATGCTAATTAAGAAACTGGCTAACAAGTGCGAGTTTACCACAATATTAATAGTGTACATGTAAGTTAAAAAAACATACAAAAAACTCGGAATACTGTATGGCCATACACAGTGACAGAGAATTCCAGAGGTACCAGTCTACATTTCTGAATTACTACATTTTGTTTATCAAACTTATACAAACATCCTAAATTTCATATAATGATAACCTACTTTTCTACAACTGTGAACATGTGAGATGGAGATATCAAATGATACCATAGTAACACCATTCATATCAAATGATGCCATAGAAACCCCAATGATATCATATGGTTCCATAGCAATACTGATAATATCAAATGGTGCCATATACCAACATCAATCACTTAAAGTGGTGCCAGAGCAACAATAATCATATCAAATTATGCCATAGCAGCACCAACCATATGAAATGGTGCCATAGCAACACCAATCACATCAAATGGTTTCATAGTAACACTATCATATCAAATGATGCCATGGCAACATCAATCATATCAAATGGTGCTATGGCAACATCAATTATTACATCAATTAATGTCATAGCAATGACATGAAAATGATGCCATAGCAACAATGATCATATCAAATGATACCATAGCAACAATGATCATATCAAATGAGGCCATAGCAACACAAATCATATAAAATGATGACATAATAGCAAAACTATTTTAATTATGTTTTAAACTTCTACAATCATTTCAAACATGATATACAGCAATTTTGTATCCTAAACAACAATATGACTGATAACCATAGAAACTGTTGCTAATGCTAAGCAATATTAATTTTGACAAAAAAAGTTAACAATTCATGTCACTGCTTTTCTGTCATGATCACCATCAATTACTAATTGATATTTCATCAATTTTTCATTGAAACAGCACATTAAATAGTATTGCAATAATGTTAACCTTCTCACAATGTCCAATACCCTTCCCAATGACATGACATTAGAAAGATTACCAAGATTTATATGAAAAATTAAGAAATGGGACTACTTTAAGTAGATATAATATGTCTGCTAATTGGTGAAGAAAATATTGTAATATTCTCATTTTTTACAAAATTCAAAATTTTTGGAAAGAATTACCGGTATTAGCTTCCTTAAATAAGTGATCAAATATTAGAATTTTTAAGTCTTTGAAAGTTTAGCAAAGATGATACAGAAAAGTTTGTCTTTAGATGATTCCGCGAAATAAATGTCGACTGGTCAAATTGCTGCGAGGACAAACAATTTATATTGCAATTTATCTACCAGATTAACACTCTGTAGAATCTGAAAGAGAAAAAACAGACAAAATCAAAATCAGTGTATAATGGAACAACTGTAAGGCTTGGCTTTAGTTTATTCATTCAACAAAATGCAGTCTCCATTCACAAATTTGAAATTAGGGAGCTTTTGATTGCACAATGACAGAAGGATGTAGAACGTAATGACTTCACTAAATATTATTAGGACGCAATTTTTTGCAAACTTTGAATGGGCTTCTTTTCAAGATGGGCTTCATTTCGAGGCGACTTTGCAAAGTAAAGAAAGGGGGGGGGGGCTTCTTTTCAAAATGAATGCTGTAAATTTTGTGAATTTGGACTATAAAACAATAAATAAGGCCACGGTAACATCAATCTGGATCATGAAGTGTATTTAAATGGCATTAAATCAACTAAACTACTGTATAAACCAAGCTTGTTTTTAGTTTATTTTGTTTTTAGAAATTCATGCACAGTGTTTGTTCCATATTATGTTGAAAAGAAACCTATGCTATCTTGAAAAGAAGCCCATGGCCTTTCGAGGCTAATTTTGCAAACTAAAGAGGGGGCTTAAATTCGAGGTTAAGCCCACTAGGCTTCAATTCAAGGTTTTACAGTATTACTTTTAGAAATGATCAGTGTCGGGTTGTACATAACAAGGGTTTTCTAGGCAAAGATGGTTAGCGGGCCGCACACACAGGAATTCTAATATATTTTCACAGGCCACAAATCAATCACCATCGGGCAAACTTTTATCTTCCAGACCATTTCAGTTTTCTTTGTGCACCTGAAAATTAGTTTCACAGTGTGTCACTTACGGACCATTAATTCCTTTGCAGGATGTACCTACACAAAACGTAGAACTTCAATTTCAGACCTCTTTGAATTAGGGGATGGTAAAACATGGGATTAAGCTTTAATATACAGACAATTATTGTTAGAACAAAGCAATATGATTAAATATAGAAATATGATATAAAATGCAAAAAAAAAAAAAAATGTAAAAACTACTTCTCTTACTTTAACTGCTTTGACATTTTTCAAAGACTGCCTTGAAATCTGCAGTAATAGTAGGAGTTTTGAATTTGACGGCAATCTGTTCCAGCCGAGGTTCCATGTCTGATGCATCCATGGCATTCCAGACGAGAGCTCTGTCTGATCCTGTATTTGGTTTTAATTCCATCTCTGGCGTGATTATGTGGTTGGCACAGATCTTCAGCACTTGATCTCTCCGCATTACTACACGGCAGCGATTCATAACCTTGTGCTTCAGGATCTTGATCTCGCCAACCCCACGCTTTTTCCACTGTGCCGTCTCACGATTCCAGTGGTACAGTTTCGCACGCTGGCAGAATAACTGTTCTTCTTCCTCCTCACCAGTTTTAACTTCAATTTCTTTTAGTGTGACAACTGGCTTAAACTGCAGTTCTTCCTCTGGGTAATAACCTTCACTCATTTTTTTTCTCACTGCTGCAGCAAAACTTTGTCCAAAGCTGAATGTTGATGCTGAAGTAACTGAAAATATAGAAATTACATAATATAAACTTGCTAACACTGAGGTACAGGCCCGTAACCGGGGAGGGGAGGGCAAACCTTGTCTCTAGGCCTGCTTATTCTTCTTATGTCCCTAGGTAAGCATGCGTTCATATTACCAGTAGGCAACGCAAATCAAAATAATGACATGCGCCTAGAGTACTCTTAGGCCTACTGCTATTCTGCCAAGATTTTGCATGGTTTGGATTACTGTGCGAGTGAAATAAAAAAAATATCTTAGTTCAAAGTGGTTCATAATTGTTAAAAGATTTTAGGTTAGTGGGTAGTATGTAGTCTATCCTTCAGTTTCAAAGCTTTTTAATGTACAGTTTTTCAGTGAGTATGATTAATATTATGAAATAATTTTCTGTTTCATGGGTTTGAGAGCCACAATTGTTAGCTGTGGTCATTTCTTGCCATCATTCATTTGAATGAGATATTGAAATTGGCATAATTAATAAACTTTTCCCTGATCATTAAATTAAAGTTTGAAGTTTAAAACTGTAATGGCTTGTACATACCTGCACTGTCAACTTGTGTCTTGTCCTTGTCTTCATCCTCCGCTTTTTTGTCTTCATCCTTCGCTTTTTTGTCTTCCGCCTCCTCCACTTTATTGTCTTCTGCCTCCTCCACTTTATCGCCTTCTTCCTCCTCCACTTTATCGTCTTCTTCCTCCTCCACTTCATCATCTTCCTCTTCCACTTCAGCGCCTTCTTCCTCCACCACTTTATCGTCTTCTTCCTCCTCCACTTTATCGTCTTCTTCCTCCTCTAACATTGTCTGATATGTCAGATGAATTTATTAGTGGTGGCAACCGAATTACTCAAATTGAAGTGTTCGTTACAATCTTGCCAGTTGACAGTGTACCACCAAATGCTGTCTCTTATACACATCTAGATGTGTATAAGCACTTTATCGTCTTCTTCCTCCTCCACTTTATCGTCTTCTTCCTCCTCCACTTTATCGTCTTCTTCCTCTTTATATTCCTCCTCTTCAACTTCAGCTTCTTTCTCCTCTTTATCTTCCTCTTCATTTTGTTCCTCTTCCGCCTCTTTATCATCCTCCTCATCATCGTCGTCATCATTGTCATCTTCCTCCTCATTATCTTTCTCCTCTACTTGAGTATCTCCCTTCTCTTCTCTACTTTTCTTTTCAACTTGATCAGTTTTTTTTTCTTCTGTGTCTTCGTTCTTCACTTCTTTTGATTTATCATCTATTTCTTTCTCTGTTGGCTTAGCTTGATTGCTACTTTTAATCTTTATGACAGCTTCTTTAGCATTCTCGAAAGCTTCTTTAAATGCAGCAGCAACATCTGAAGTCTTAAAGCGAACTGCCAGTAATTCTGGTTTGACGTTTCCATCATCAGAAGCATCCATTGCTGTCCACACCCAAGAACGATCTGAACCTGAATTAGGACGCAGATCCATCTCTGGTTGAATGAAGTGGTTTGCACATAACTTAAGAACCTGTTGTCGTCTCATTAATATACGGTAGAGTCCGGTTTCTCTGTGCTTCATTATTTTGATATCACCCATGCCACGCTCCTTCCACTCATTGGATTCCTTGTTAAACTGGTACAACTTGGCTCGATGACAGAACATCACATCCTCATTCTCCTCTCCAGTTGTCAGCTCAACCGGATCAAGGTGAACAACTGGCTCAAAATGCAAGCCATCATAATCATCATCTTTGTAATAAGAATCATCTCCTGATTTATCCAGACTTGGTGATTTCATGAGACCGGGCGATCGTTGAATGCCTGGTGATTTTGTTGGAGATTTTGGAGGTGCATTAGCTGCTTCTTCTGGATCCATTTTGAATTGGAAGGTGAATGATTTAGCCATTTCAGAAAATTTGCAACCCTGATCGGGTGTCTTCTTCAGCGAGGAAAGGTCAAGAGCTTGTTCTTCAGCAGCGTTTTGATTCAGATTACTGCCAAACTCGAATCCAGCAGATGTTGGTTTTGGAGCTCTAAATGTAAATCCAGTAGAAGCAGGAGGGCTGGAGACAGCACCACTAATATCACCTCTTCCAAAAGTGAACGGTGGCAGAGATTTTCCTGACTGACCAAATGAGAAAGTTTTTGCAGGTGCAGGTGATGTGGCATAAACTTTTGTAGGTGCTGTGGTACTTGGTTGTCCATTGCTATCACTCTTTCCAAGTAACTGTTCTAATGAAGTATTTCCAAATTTGAAAGAACTACTAGTATTAGAAGACGCAAATGAACTGGAGGCTTCTGGTTGGGCACCAGGCTGGTGGGTTTGACATGCTGGGCATTTTTTATGTTCTGCTGTATTCTGACACAAACAAGTAGGACAAGACCAGACTCCTGCTTTAGGCTTGAACATTTCTGATAAACTCTGAAAAATCAAAATTAAATAAATTCACTTAATTTTCAATACAAGTTTTTAATGTTTGAAAATTTGAAAAGCATGTTTTGAGGTTTTGACATCACATAAAGAGAATAAGCAAAACAATATTTACCGTTGTTTTGTCCTCTTTATCAGCATCATTAGTGGTAGTAGCAAAAGCAGGATGAGATGAGGGTTTTTGTTGAGTTGAAGATGCCACTTTAGTTGACTCACCACCAAATGAAAAACCACCAGTTGGTTTGCTGCCACCAAATGAGAACCTGCTAGTGGTTTGTGGTAGGCTACCAACAAATGCCTGTCCAAAACTGAAGCCAGAATTTTGAATAGACTTGTCACTGTCACTTACTCCAATAGTGAACCCAGAGGTTTCGGGTGAAGAAATTGTTCCTCCAAACCTGAAACCACCAGATGCACTAGCTGGTTGTCCACCAAATGAAAAACCTCCAGTTGGTTTGTCGCCACCAAATGTGTGTCTAAAAGTTATGCTAGAAGCTTGACTAGGCTTGGTACTGTCTTTTCCTCCTCCAAAAGTGGAGCCAGAGGTTTGGGGTGAATAAATTGTTCCTCCAAACCTGAAACCACCAGTTGCACCTGCTGGTTGTGGCTGGGATGGTGTAGAAGTAGTTGCCTGCGTCATCAGCGCTGCCCCTCGTTTTGGTGCGGCACATGCAAAGCATTTAACAGTGCCTGGAGGGTTGGAAACTAAACAGGTGTCACAATTCCAGCTTCCAGTTTTGGGTTTGAACTTGTCAGCCAAACTCTGGAAAGGAAGTTAAATTGTAAATAAAAATCTGTGATAAAACTACCTAAAATTGAAAAATTAAAAAGACATCCACTCCCTAAGACTCATGAGATTTAGTTTATGTAGATCTTGTGTTTATATTCAGGGGCGGATCCAGATATGTCCAAAAAGGGGGGGGGGGCGAAAGTGGATACGATCGAGATAACAGTACCCTAGGGGTCCGGGGGAACGCCCCGCGAAATTTCTGTATTCTAAACGCCCGAAAATAACCTCTGAGGCCTTTTGGGCGATCAATTTTTTCTTTTCTTTCTTTTTTTAAATTTTTTAAATTTCTAAAAGGGGTGGGGGAGGGGGAACGAGGCCAGTTCAGTCTTCCCCCCCCCCTCTTATAAATCCACCTCTGATGTTTGTCACTAAAAATCAAAAAGGCAGTGAAGATTCACCTAAGCAAGTTTGAATAAACCTCAACCAAAGCATTGCGCGCCAGCACCCTGACCATGTGGCTCCAGTAGGAGCGTTGGCCAGTACATATACAAGGTAAGACAAAAGGATTGCCACACAGTAAAGTGATTAAGTTTGCCATTGACATATGCTTAGCTTTGAGCCTAAAAATAAAAATGAATAAATAAGTAATAAATTTATTATTAATGTTAATGGTTTCGGGATGATTTCTCACTTTAAGGGCTATAATATCATCATTAACATATATACTGTAAATATTTACATTCATTTGTTCACTAATAATAAGGAAAAACCAATCAAAAACTTTTAACAGCTCATCTAAAAGGGTCCATGTCACTCTGCTTGGAATACACAACATTTTCTTTTCTTAAAGCCTTGTCCAGGCTATCAAATATTATTTGACAGAAGCATGTGACATGCCTAAATATGGTCATGATGACACCCACCACATCATGACCATATATAGGCATATCATGACTATATATGGGCACATCATGACCATATATAGGCACATCATGACTATATATGGGCAAACATGTTTTTTGTCAAATAAAATTTGATAGTGTGGATAGGGCTTCAAGTCTATCGCACAGTCACGAGAGCTAAATGTCATTCACGGCATTCAGCATTCATAGCGCTCACGTAAACATTTATCATGTTTGATATTTTTTGGCAGAAATTAAACATAATGAAAACTCTTCCCCTACTTTTGACAAAAGCTCATTTAGGTAAATTTGACCTACATCTCATGCATGAATGCACTAACCGCAGAAAACTTGAAATTCGTAGCTGCTATTGGCCTTAAGCATGTGACGTCATTCATAGACAGAGTAAAAAAAGTTCTGAATACAAAATTTTAAAGAAAAAATGATCAATGGTTATTTAAGCAACCAGCATGGGGCTTACATAGCGAGAAAGCTTAATTTATGAGCTACAATTGACCGTTCACCCCGAAATTTAGCGACCTGTCGTTGTAGAGTTATAGTAAAAGGAAGAAGGAAGTATACCAAAAACACTCTAATTTTAACCTTTTTCCTATGCAAAGCATAAGAGGTAGTCAACTTTGAAAGAAAAATGATCACTCAATTTTCCATTAATTGTAAGAATATATAGATGATTATAAAGCTTAAACATCTAGTTTTATGATCCGATCGCCCCAGATTGCCAAATGAAACCATTCAAATTATATAGTCAATTTTGTGAAAAAGGGGGTCCCATTTAGACTCATTTACTGTGTTAAGGTGTGCAGTGAACCGTTCAGTGAGCAGAAGTTTTCAAGTTTTCATTATAAATGTATTACCGTGTGCGGTGAATGAACACTATCTGCTACAGCTCGCACATACTACGGACACATGAAAAACATAGCGCTGGCAGTATGCTTACACATATGTATTACGAAAAGTCTCCTCATGCTTATATTATAACGTGACGAACATCAATTTTGTTAAAGATGTATTGTTCCATGAAATATACAAAAAGTCTGAAAAAATCATTTAACTTGCTTATTTTGAAGTAACATAACAGTCACTGGAAGAGTTTTTGTTATTTTTTCATCATCCAATATAAAAATCATGGTACACATTTTTGAAATTTAATAATTTCTATGCTCAAGTTAATAATTTGTATGTTACTGCAAAATGAGGAAGTTAATTTCAAAATTATTTTTTTTATGATTTTGTCATTTTCAGAAGACAATGCATCTTTAATTGAATTTGTAACTAATGTATGCATATATACCCAAGCGTAAGCAGGCTTAACAATAATAAAATCACCCTTGTACCTTCACTTCTGTTTCCTCTTTTTCCTCCTCCACCTTCTTTACTGATCCCGTTTTCTCTGCTTTTATGACAAGTTGTTTACATTCCTCAAATTTATTTTTAAACTCGGATGCCACTTCAGATTTCTTGAATCTAATGGCCAACTGTTCCCTACTAGCTTTTCCTTCTGAAAAATCCAGCGCATTCCAGACCAATGCACGGTCGGACGACGGCATTGTCTTTATCTCAATGTCCGGTGTGATCATGTGATTAGCGCATACTTTCAACACCCGTTCCCTCCTCATTAGGATACGTATCCTACCGGTGTTCTTGTTTTGCATGAACTTAATGTCGCCAACTCCACGTTCTTTCCACTGGTTCAAGTCCTTGTTGAAGCGATAAAGTTTTCCACGTTCCTTCCACAGACAGGTCTCGTCATCTTCACCAGTCTTTATATCGGTGACCTCCGGTAAGGTTACGATCGGTTCGTAATGCGGGTCATACTCAGTGTCAGAGCCACCAGGTGAGCTAAACAGTTGTGTACGGGCACTAGACCAGGAAAAGCTCTGAAAAGTTTCTGAAGAACAGATTGTGGAATGAAAATGGAATCATTCTTTTAGAACAAGCTAACACTAAGACATGTATCTTGAGTGTTTTCAAAACAATCCTTTACATGTATGTAGGCAGTATAACAACATCAATAAATTTGAAACCCTCTGTAATAACAGTAAATAAATAGTCACTGGACGAATGTTCTTGACAGGACCTTCTGTGTTTACCTTTTACGAAATTGTTGTAATGTTTTATATGTTTACTGAATAAAAGTGATTTTTATATACAGTAAAACATCACAGTCAAATGAAATATAACTGTATACATTCTGTGATAATTTTCTTTTACAATAAAGTTATATTAAAGAAAAAAGTTATAACATATTTTATGATATATACAAATAAAGGAGAAATATAGCCAAATTAGTTTGATAAAAAATAATAACTGGAATTGGTACTGGATATTATATTGCGCCTTGAGGTTATGAAGCGCAAGAATTCAGGAAAATAATGGTAGGCATAAAATTGATAATTATTCAGGAACCCCATGCATCACAATAGTATAGTCTCACAAACACAAAAAAGATGAATAAATAATACAGATTACAACAATTAAACACAAAAGGAATATGCAGAAGAGTGACATTAGGCAAACAAGTCAGTCTTAAGTGCAAAAGGGTGTGCATAGTAAAGTAATAATATATTTAATGCTTGCGGTACACCACATAGATAGTTGCTTCAATCGTCTTCAGGATAATATCTGCCGAGAATCCAAACAGGCAAATACTTATATGTTCGGATAGTGTGACTTGCTGCTGTTTGTTATTACGTGATGCACCACAAGCATTAAATATATTAAATATATTCTCAACAACAATAACATTTACAACAATAACAATAAAATAACAAATGGATAAAATAACATAATACAGGATGTTTATATGCTGAGGCAGATGCAGAATTTGGCAGTAGGGGGTGCATCAGAGTGTACACCACCTACTGCCCTACAATGTTGGCACTGATGTGCGGACATTTTTATTTTATCGACCTCTACATGCCCGGAAATTGTACTCTCATGTCTTGAAAATCTTACTATGAACTTTGTTCATCAACAATACAATACAATTATTTTTCTTATTACAATTTTTTTTTTGGGGGGGGGGGTTCGATCCACCCCGGATATGGTAATGGTAGTTACTTACTTTGCCTCATAAAGTCTGGAGTACTGTTAGTTTCAGCGGATATGGAAGCAAGGGACAAACTACCAGCAGTTGAACCACCAAACATCAATGGTGCTGTAGAGGGCGCTACAACATGAGGAAAAAAAGAAACACTTTAATGTCTAATTTAATCCTGCTAACTTCTATGTATCTAGAGGTACATGCCCCACGCCCACGTCCCCCCTTGGTCTCCCTCATTGATTATTTCCAAAGAGAAAAAAAATCACCTCATATTACCTTATTTTGCGACATAGCGCGCCTTACTTAATCACCGAGTGCCACCACTCCACCTTTGCGCCCCCTCCCATTAGCACCCAAATTTCAAGACTTCTAGACACGCCACTGTATATTTTCTATGAAAACTGACCACTACTTAATTTACCAACCATAAAACTTTTGATAGAGCCCCCTGGTTTGGTTTTTAGGGTTTACTATATCACTATTAATTATTAAATATATAAAGAATTGGAAGAAAATAACCCACTCGCACTTCCTATCTTGGCAATTTCACGTAACTCTATAAGTAAACATTGGTTGACTATTCCACATATTTCATATTCATTGAGCATGAAGTTTGTGCTTGTGCAGATAAAATAGTAAAGTTGTTTACTGTCAGAAAATGTGTCACAATAGTGGTTTCAATCATAAAGTGTTATGGCATTACATCACACCCAACAGATGTAGCTCAACTTCCCATATTTTTTTGGCAGCCACTTAAGGCCAAGTACAAAAAAAAGTAGTTGTTTTTCGTCATATTTTGAAAAAAGGAGAATGATCTCTCCTTTTTTTTTTTTTTATTGTTGTGTGAGGGGATGAGAAACTAGTCTTTTTTCTATTTTGGCCTAACCTCATATTAACAGCCACCAATATCCCATATATTCGCTGATTACAAACCACCAACCTTTTGGTATTTAGGTGAATTAAACTTAATATATTCTTCTGAGTGTTTTAAGGTGAAGCTAGAGTTTAATGGCCTGACACAGCCCAGCCAACCGAATCTCAACCAGCATATATCAGTAACTTTATGGTATTGCTATACCACCACCAACAAACAACCAACATTTCCAAATGCAACTTACTTTCTTGGCTTGGTTGGACACTTTCTTCCTTTGCCTTTGTGCTGGTCTCCCTCTGATCTTCCGTGCTGAACCTATTCTCCTTATTAAACAACTTGGAAATATCGATGTCGTAACATCCAATACAACCTGGACACGGCTCTTTGTATTCATAAAGATAAAATGTTGGTGGGAGTCTCAATTTAAGAGCCATTGCTATCTGTGCTGGAGTCGGTCTTCTTTCATTGACAACTATCACATCATCATCGGATTCATTATCAGAACCTGATTCATCTAGATATTCAAAAAATGAAAGAATATGTTTAAATAATATCTAAAATATTCAAAATTCAAATTCAATAGATAATAACATGGGAACTGAACCCATGTATTGGTCACAATGGTTCATTGTTCAGCAGTAGTATGATAGTGACTATGGTGAGATGAATTATGATGGCGACTGTTCTACTGTGATGTCATACTGAACTGAAATCTTATTTATTCAGCATCAAAAACATAAATATAAAAAGCAAACAAAAACAATAATATGCAATGATTAGGTAGTAAAAATATTTAAAAAAAACAACAAAAGGATAAAAAGAACCACCAAGAAACACCAAAGGATCCACTGGTTATTCGCAAACACAATTAAGAGTATGGCAACTCTTACGAATGACAAATATGAGGCCATAATTGAATTTACACTAAAGAGCTTTTAAATTTGAGGCCCATTAAATCAATTGATTTTATCTTTGTAAATTTATAATATAAGAGCTAACCTGACAACACATTTTTAAAAAGCTAACCTCACAAACTAACAAAAGATAGAATTCAAAATCAAAAATGGATGTTAACTGAAGTTTAACAGGGGCAGGGCCACAGTAGAATGCCATTACCAGGACAACTAAGTTTAGAATATATAAATAATGATACCGCTGACCCGGTGTTGATGTAATTAAAGTAATAACCGTAACAATAATTGGCCTAGTAAATAATAAGTGATATAATGGTTTGGTTTTTAGGGTTTACTATGTCACTATTAATTATTAGACATATATAAAGGATTGGACGATAATAACTCACTCACACTTCCTGTCTTGGCAATTTCACATAACTCTATAAGTAATACATTAACTATTCCACATATTTCACTATCATTGAGAATGAAGTTTGTGCATTCCAATAGTAATCCCACTGGGTTATTCTTACAGATTAAATTGTAAAGTGGGTTACTGTCAGAATATGTGTCACATTATAGTGGTTTTCAATCATTAAGTGTTATGGCATTACATCACACCCAACAGATGTAGCTCAACTTCCCATATTTTTTTGGCAGCCACTTAAGGCCAAGTACAAAAAAAAAGTAGTTTTTTCTCTTCATAATATTTTGAAAAAAGGAGAATGAACATGCCTTTTTTTCTTTTTAAATGTTGTGCAAGTGGATGAGAAACTAGTTTTTTTTTCTATTTTGGCCTAACCTCATATCAACATACATTTGTTAATAATATGTGATATAATTTATCTAAATTTTTTTTTTAAAGTGATACAGTACAGAAATTAACTATTTCACTAATAAAAATTAAGGCAAGTCATGTAATTTACCTTAACTTACCTTACCTTGTTATTTACTTTATTTGCCATCTGACCGGTGGTATATAAACCGCCAGTAACATAAGCACTACTGCCTCATGATGCTTGAGGCGCATGTTGTTTATTAGTATCATATATTTATGATTTAATCACTACTTTTTAAATTATATTTTATAATACCGTGAAATGACTTCAATTGTGGAAGTTTCTTCAGAAATCCTAAACCATTACCTTTACCATGATTACAAGTCGCCGTCAATACATATCCTTACGTGCTCTCTTCAAAGAACTGAAATATGAAAGCTAAATCTTCAATTTATGCAATATTTTTTATCCTCATCGCATGTGTTGGAGTAAGGTACCTTTATGCAGGTGTTTTTTACAAGGAAAGAGGCAAATTAGCTGTTTCATTTAGCTGGGAAAGTGTAGGCCTAGGCCTAACAGATTGCCTTGTCTACGACACTGAACTGAGAGCCAGCACACAGCGCTGTGTGTGCGATTCATGGAATGCTACCGTTGGAATTAAACAGGTGTCGAAGTACGAGAGAGGACCTGTAGTCATCATAGGCCTACTACAAGGGAAGTATTACACTATTTATGGCAGAGATTATTACTTTCAACGTATGGGAAAGAGAACTACTTATTATGCTAATACTACTGCGATATTACGAACAGGTTATTTAGTTTTGTCAGGAGACATTGAGTTGAATCCTGGGCCACCTAATAGAAAGAGATCAAATGGTGATATGCCAAGTAGGACAACAGACAACCATGAGAATAGGGCTACTAATCTTGCTGTGTACTATCAGAATGTTCGTAGTTTAAAGAATAAATTGGATATCTACAGTTCTGAGCTGCAAGCCCACATTCTTTCATCGCAACTTGATATCGTTGCCTTATCTGAGACATGGTTGAATAGTAGTCTTTGAGGCTGAACTTGCCATCTCAAATTACACATTGTTTAGGAGGATTTGAGGACTTAATCGAAGAGGAGGGGTATTCTTATGCTTGTCAATGATAAATTCAAAAGTAATAGGCTCAATCATCTGGAAAATGAATCGTCAGAATATATGTGGGTAGAGGTGAAATTGGCAAGAAGGCGGAGTTTGATTGTGGGATTATTTTATCGTCCTCCAAATTCAAAACCGGAAATTCTTCATAATTTTACCACCTCGGTTGAAACTGCTATGTTGCAATACAAGAGGAGCGAGTTTATTATCCTGGGTGATTTCAATCTCCCAGCAATTGATTGGTTATCTGAATCTTACGAGGCACCAGCAAATTCGATGGAGGAACATCTTATTGACATCTTAATTAATAGCTGTGGGCTTTTTCAATGCAATAAATCTGTAACCCGCGGTGATATTATTTTAGATCTAGTTATTTGCAGTAGAGAAAAAACGTTTTAACGTTTTAACTTGTGAAGATATTTTTACATCTGATCATCATTCTGTGAGAATAGATTTTAATACCAATGTTGAATGTTGTGTGAATAATGTTAATGTGTTTTTATATAATTTTAAAAATACGGATAAAGAAGATTTGTGCATTACCTTGTCCTATACACCCTGGCATATAATTGATTTTGAATTAGATGGAGATGTTAATGAAGCAGTAAATATGTTTTATGACCTTCTTATTGCTGCAGTTAACGATGTTGTTCCTAAAATGAAAAAGCGCAGAAAATTGCCCCCGTTGTTTGATGGGGAGTTAAAAAGAGCATTGTATGATAAAAAAAAATGTTTTAGGAAGATGAAAAAGAATGATAATCGTTTTACGAGGAGCAATTTTAAGTTTGCTCGTTCTACATTTAAAATGATGTGTAAACATAAGTATAGAAAACATCAAAATTTTCTTGCTAGTCAGATTGGTTCTAATAAAAAAAGGTTTTGGAGCTCGATAAAAAGTAAGCACAAATCAAGCAATTATCCATCCGTTGTCTCATAACGGTGCATCTGTACAAACAAATTATGACAAGGCTGCTATGTTTAATTCGTTGTTTTTTTCGTTTTTTAGACCTCATAATCAGGGAGGTTCTGATGATATGCAGAGTTTTCCTTATTATGATGTCGACAAGTTGTCGTCATTTCGGGTGGAACAGCATGTTGTGGAAAGAGAACTCTTGAATATTAAAATTCACAAAGCCACAGGTTATGATCAAATAAACAACAGCATTCTTAAGAATACGGCTTCTGTTTTAAGTTATCCTCTTACTAAAATCTTTCAGTTGTCAATAGACTCCGGAAAGTTCATATCATTTTGGAAATATGCTAATGTCATACTGGTACATAAAAGTGGTTCTAAAAAACTTATTTGCAATTACCACCCAGTTCCCCTCCTGCCAACTCTCAAAAATCTTTAAGAGAATTGTGCATGATGTCGTTTATACTTGAGTTTCCCCTGTTTTAAGCTCTTTTCCACATGGCTTTGTTCCGAGAAGGTCCTGTCAAACTAACCTTGCACTGCTTCTTGCTACAGCATACAAAGCTATTGACAGCAAGAAGCAGTGTGACATGATTTACACAGACTTCTCTAAGGCATTTTATTCTGTTTCTCATGAATTACTCCTTATGAAAATTTTTAATTTTGGAATTTCTGGATCCTTATTTAATTGGTTTAATGATTATTTAACTGACCGTAAGCAACGTGTTGTTATTGAAGGACAATCTTCAGAATGGTTACCAGTCATTTCTGGGGTACCTCAGGGCTCAATCCTGGGACCTTTATTCTTTAATTTATTTATCAATGATTTACCATTACATTTTACTTCTGCTCAGTCGCTTTTATTTGCTGATGATGTTAAATTATTCAGAGTTATCTCATCTCCACAAGATGCTGTTCTTCTTCAGGAGGACCTGTGTAGGTTGGTGACCTGGGCTAAGGATTGGAGACTCAGTCTCAATACTGCCAAGTGCAAACTCTTATCTATTACTTTGAAAAAGAAACCTATTAAGTTTAATTATCACATTGATGACCAGGTCCTTGAATCTGTTTCTGCTTATAAAGATCTTGGTATTTTTATTGATTGCAAGTTGAATTTTTGTTTTCACATTAACCATATTGTTGCTAAATTTAATAAATTGCTGGGCCTGATTTGGAGAAATTGTAGGTTCTTAAGGGATGGGAAGGCTCTGATGGCCTTACTGTATATAAAACCATAATTAGGCCCAATTCAGAGTTCTGTACAGTAATTTTTAATTCTATTTCTCCAAATCAGGCTCAGCGGATTGAACGTCTTCAGAGAAAATTTTGTAGACATTTGATAAAGAATTGTCCTAACTATGTTAATAATATTAACTTACTTAGTGATCGTAGAATGCTTTCTGACATAGTTTTTCTTTTCAAGGTAATGAATTCGGATTATGATTGTGCCCAGGCGTACCCGAAATAGAGGTCTTTTAAACCCACCTTTTAGTCGTGTCAATGTTACATGTAGAGGTTTATTTAAAAGTTTAGTGATTATTATAATAAGTTTTGTATGTCTAATATTAATATTGATATTTTTTTTGACAGTTTAAATGTTTTTAAATCTAAAGTTGTTAGTACCTTTTAAGGTATTTTTATTTTATTTTTTTGTACTTAAATATTTTATATGTATTTTAACCTGTCAGTGGTGGTTGTTATCGCTGTTGGTTAATATGAAATAAAATAAAATAAAAATTTAAAAAAATAGATTGTGATAAATACAATGATTATGTTGACAATCACGATGATGATTATGACTTAGAAATAAAGTAGTAAAAAAGTCTAAGAAAACCAACCTTTAGTTTGTGTGGCTGAACTGTCAACTGCAGCTTCCTGACTAGCAAGTAATGGGCTTTGGCCTGGTTTTCTTGGTTGAGGTGCTGCTGCTACTGGTGTCTTTTGAGTGGTAAAACTAAACCCTGCAAATGGCGAGGTGCTGATAGGTTCTTTTTGTGCAGTGAAGTTGAGACTTTTAAATGCACCAGTTGCTGTCTGACTGAATGGCCCACTAACTGGTGAGGCTGTTGACTGTGAACCAAATGTAGATTGTGGTTGGCTGAATAAGGTGGAACTTGGTTTATTGAACACGTTTGAACTAGTCGAAACTGGCTGACTGGACACAGGAGTGAAGTTACTACCTCCACCAAACGAAAAGCCAGTAAAACCAGAGGGTGCTGGTGCTGGTGCCGGGTTAGAACTAGCTTCAGGTTTGCTCCCAAAAGAGAAACCAGCGACACTGTTTGGGGTCTGCTCGGCTTCCTTTGCTTTTGCAGATTCAAGTCGTGTTCCACTTGTGAAATTAGGCGAAACAGCAGCTCCTTCAGATAACTTGTCACCTCCACCATGGTTAAATCTTGAGGTGGAAGAAAGAGATGGGAAACCAGAAAAAGTCTGTGGAGATGGCTGTTCTGCACTATCCTCCAATGCAATCAACGGGGCATCAGGTTTGCTCCCAAAAGAGAAACCAGCGACACTGGTTGGGGTCTGCTCGGCTTCCTTTGCTTTTGCAGATTCAAGTCGTGTTCCACTTGTGAAATTAGGCGAAACAGCAGCTCTTTCAGATAATTTGTCACCTCCACCATGGTTAAAGCCTGAGGTGGAAGCAAGAGATGGGAAACCAGAAAAAGTCTGTGGAGATGGCTGTTCTGCACTATCCTCCAATGCAATCAACGGGGCATCACTGGCAGACTTTACAGGGGCATTAAGTTTCAACTCCTGCATCTTATTCTGTAAGAAGAAACACTTTTTAAAATTACAATTTTATTGATGATTTAAAATTGTGTGCAATTTAGAAAAGTAATAAAGGACATCCTTATACCCTCATTTGAGATCCTACTGCAAGTTTGTATAAAAAATGTAATTTTGTTATGTCAACAATTCAGGAATTGAATTAATAAATGTGTAATGTTATTGAATTGTGAGAAAAAAATAGATATCTTATCTGTGGTTTTCATAGGAGGTGAAAAAAGGGACATGGTTATAGCACATCAAAGGTCCCAAATGATCAGCTCTCCACTACCTTTATAAGGAGATTTGGTTATTGGATGTGTGTTGGATGTTTGGGACTACCTCCCAACGCTAACTAAAACAAAACCAAGTTGTCGTTCTAATATACCTCACAAATATTGAACAGCTAACCATCCATCTACATTAGCCATTTCAATCTGTGAGTGTAAAATTTCGGAGTTTACATACGGTTCACGTAAACAAGGGTGCCGTACGTGCAGGAAAGTAGTAGAAACTGCCGGGTCGAATTGACCAATGGAATATCGTTATTACCTAATTAATATTTATGAGGTACTGTATACTATTAAAATCAAAATACAGTAGTTGTTTCTAGATTTTAATTTTGTTGTATTACACATCATTAACAAGAAAATTTAGTACGAAAGTAAATACATTTTTTAAATTGTATCTTCAAATTAACAGAAATGTACATATACAGAAATGAAGAGCTCCAATAAGAAGTTGAAAATACATTCAACAGCCTCCATATTATGTTTATTGTACATTAGTGTTAAGTCATCAAAAGGGAATGGCACTGTTCCTAACCATGAAAAAAAAAATCTGGTACAAAGAGATATTACACAGTACAACTATTATTATTGGTATCACTGCTGAAATCATATATTACTAATGATGCATAATTCAATATTAAAGGATCTAAAAAAATCCACACAAAGAAATGCAACTTACATTCAAATCAGTAATTTGTTCCCTTAGGTATTTATTTTGCTCCATGACTTTATTGTGTTCCGACAGAATATCCCTGTTCTGTTCGAGAAGGCGGCAGTTCTCATCCATGAGGCGTGTCTGACTTATATTCATCGACCGTAATTCGGACATGAGTCGATGTGGGCTGGGATCTGGATTCAAACCCTGCAATAACAAAATTTAAAGCTTATTCCTTGAAATTTAACTACCCATATGAGAAACAGGGGAAAAAAAGAAAATCATGAAATATAATCATGAAATATATTGGGAGAGCTGATAGCCACTATGTGCATATGCACTGAACCATAAAGGACTTGTGTGTCTGGTTCAGTTCTATTATTTTTCAGGAATGCTGAAATAATATAATAATAATATGGCAGATCTATACGTTTTATTTCTATGCAGGGAGTTTTTCAAAGATGGTAGGCCTAATAAGTATTGTTAAACTTCAATCGTATGCTATTTATGACTTGCAAATAAAGTCGAGTTGATTTGAGTTTATATAGCTCATTATGTCAATATGGGCTTTTGAGTTTTACTATTATCCCACTTCAACTATTTCCATCAATCTACGTAAACACACATAAAAAAGTCACTCGTTTAAAAACTTGGCTTACCTGTTGAAAGGAAGACATGTCACTGGAAGAAGGCAGAATACTTCTGCCATCCATCGAGCGTCTTGATGATACAGCAGACCCAGCATGAGAGCCATTGTCCAGTCTGTGAGATGTGCCGATGCTTTCATCATCTTTAAAATCCTTATGTGCAAGCTGTTGCTTTTCAACATCGACATCGTCCAACAAACTTTGAATTTCCTCATGCATCGACTGAAATAAAAATAATATGAAATTACGTTTAAGGCTTTTTACTTAGTAGTTAATCCCCCTGCCTTCCAATTACTACTTTTAACTTACACTATTGTGGTCGTCCTGTATAGCTTCCATCGCTGAGTAGAGGGAGTATTTACACTGGTCTAAGTAGGTACCCTGTGCTAGAATCATATTTCCTGTTATTTCACTGTCATCTTTCCCTTCAACCTCCATGTGGTACAGCTGTTTATACATCTAAGAAATCATACAAATAGATTGTATATAAAAAATATTTATATACAATGTAATAGAAAAATACTTAATTGCCAAACTGTAAAGCAGTATAACAGATTATCACTTACCTCAAATAAGTGTTAACGCAATAATTCCCCTGTGCCAAGACAATGATCTTTCACAATCCATCATCACTTTCATCAATATTATCCCCATCATCATTATCATCACACCCATCATCATCTAATTTAATTCTTATGCAAAAGCGAAAGACTCTAACACATATAGTGACTATATGAATAAACTAATACCTGATTCACATAATTTTACAAAAGGAAGAATGTTATAAAGACTTTCCAAGATATTTGGGAGACACCATCTTTTTGACATGACGGTATTAAGACCTTGCTTAAAGTTTGTACAATGGACTTTCCTTCCAAGCCCCGCCCCTTTATGTTGCTAAGGTCGCACAAAACGACAGTGCAAAAACATACGCAAACATGAGCATTTGTTGGACAACACATGGGTTTGTAGGACACACACATATTTCTAGCCCTGTTCTGATTGGTCATTTAAGTTTGAGTGACATTCTGGAAAGGTCTATCGATATGCATATAGTAAAGATATGCATGATGGAAAAATCCTTATTACAGCCATGATTATCATCATGATTATCATTATCTTTGTCGTCATTAAAATCATTTACCAGTGCTTTAGTGAATAGGCCTGTAACGTCTTTAACTTTATTGAGGAGGACGAGTGCGTGTTGGTGGCGCCCTTGCTGGAACTCGTACTCTGCAAGCGCCACTGCTGCTTCCTCTTGCAGTGAGGTGATGTCTTCCTTCTAAATAAATGAAAAATAACCTATGTACTTGCAAGTGTACGTTATTTATATTTCGCATGTCAGTACCATGCTTTTACAAATAGAGAAAATAAAAATAAAATTAAGAAAATAATGCAAGTAAAAATTGTTAATACAAAACGTACATTTTTAAACAATAACTAAAATTAATAAAAATAATTAGAAAACTGAAGTGATGTGAAACTGAACATATAAGTATAATTTTAATTTTTCCTTACCTTTATCTTGTCTAAAGATGCTTCAAAGAATGTATGCTTAGGAGGAGACAATGCTTTATCACTGTGGAATCAATGATAAAATAATTTAACCATTATATGTCATACAGCCTTTCATATTAGTATGTAAATAAGCAGTACATTTTACCAAGGCAACGTCAAAAATGACAGATCATGTAGGAAAATTTGAAGGCCAAATAACAAAAATGAGGTTTCTACAAAAGCACATAGCTTTTATTAATGTTAAGATAAATAACGAACAAATATATCCGCTGCATGTTTCTTTCAATTTAAATAAATTATGAATACGATCTTCCTACACCCGACCACATTTTTTTTACAAAAAAAAAAAACCAACTCCAATTAAAGCCAGACGCTGACCGGATTTGAACTAGGGTCTTCAGCACTAAAAGTAGGAACAATATCTTTCAGCTTGCATTAAGTTCATAAATTATTGAAAGAAATTTTATACCTGGCTAGCAGCTTAAGATGTTCGCAGGCAGCTTTCCAATAGTGTATGCTAAGTTGCTGACATGCCAGAAACTGTTCGATGCCAGGAACATCCTTTTCATTCTTTACTTCAAGCATCTAAAATCGACAGTAGTAATACAGTCACTGATTACAACAGTAGGAAATATCATTTATCATATTTATCAATTGTGGCATATATAATACCTAAAAATTAAAGCAGGCTGAGGTAAATATTTTCCTTGTAACAGACATGTTAATATTCTTTTTTTTTACATAGACCATTAAATTGTCTAGTAATCAAAATTAAAGATTTTTTAGTAAAGACTGTCAAAGCTGGCCAAATATGGTGAAATGATACATGAGTATAATTTTTTTGCTATGCAAATTTCTAGTAGAGGTGGGGCTCGAACATCTTTTTCTTCTTTGGGAGGAGGATGCACCCCAAGCCCCAGTGGGTAAGCCACTGAACTTATTTGGTCTTGGCTTTAAACATAATGGGTACAATACAGTATATTTATTCACTTACTTCAACTGCATGAGAACAACAAGAGTAAATTAATTGTTAAAATTGTTTGTTAGGATATCTTACTCTGGCTCTAAATGTCCGTGCAAGATGAATCAGCAGGGGGGTGTCAATATTAAATTGGTCGGCATTGCGTATTGCTTCTAAACCTTCCTGGATGGAGAGACACATCTTTGCTCGCTCTTCTAACCTATGAAAAGGATGTAGGGAAAAAAAAAATCAAAATTGTTACCAAGTAACTATATCTAATAGGCTTTACCACATTAATGACTGAATAATAATAATTATTGTTAATAAAAAATAATGTTAGTGACACTGTCATTGTATCCATATTACTGAACATAAAAAACATGAAACATTATCTACTACTGTACTGGTAAAGTAATGCAAGCCATACAACATTGTTTTAGATTAAACACAAATTAATTTAATCAATGCTGTTCTACAGTGTATACTTAAAGAATGCTGTAACCACTCTGGGTAAGAGAAGGGGACTGTCTTCCAGTGATTCTGTCAATCACCACCAGATGGACCCACTGAATAAAATCTTCATACTTTTGTGGGTGACCCTTGGTTTGCGCACAAAAAAATACAATCCAAGCAAGCTACTTTCAGAGAACAGTGCCAACTTTTACTATTAAAATATAGGCTCTTTTTAGCTTTCATAATTCAGTTTTTCTTCTTTATTATGCCATTGCATTGTTCTCTCCTTATTATATTTTAATGTTGTTAACATTTCTTAATATTGTCACTTTAAATTTTTATTGTACTTTAATGTTATGAAGAGTTTTAATTGAGTATTTTAAATGTTTCATATATATTTGTATATTACTATTAATTATTCTGTACACTTAAAATTTTCCAATAGTTTGCAATAAAGTTATTTTGAATCTTTGAATTTTTGAAATAACGGTATTCACTTACTTGGCATTTCCACTGTACATTGTACACACAGACTTAAACCATTTCTCTTGTTCCTCTGTGAACAGCATATGACAGAGTGGCACCGGTAACAAAACTGGTTGATATTTATCTGTTTGGCCATCTGCCCGCAAACTCTCATTTTTTGCCTTCGCAGCTTTCACAAGAAGGTACAAGAATGCCTGGAGAGAAAAAAGTTAAAATAATGTCAAATATTAAAAGAAGAGACAATATATTATATGTAGCTCAAGCAGAGAGCTAAACAGAGAGTCAATGTAATTTAGTTTGCACTTTTCAACCAATTTTTGTTTTAGTTAATGTCTTGTTGATAAAGTAGTTCCCTTTATCAGTGCCTCTAATCAAATAACTAAACAAACGGCACAAAGTACTATTACAAATTCACACCACTCAAGGCTACTCTAGGAATGGGATAGCACGTCTTTACATTTGGAAGGTGTGTGTTAATTTATTTTTGTTGCATACACATTGGTTCCTCTTCCTAGTTCATGGTTCTTGATGTGGGAAATCCCTTTGCAGCTTATATGTTAAAATGGTGCTGAAGAATCGAGATCCGTCAATCCAATCGAGTCCAAAACTAATCTTATAAGGCGCATAAATTCTATGCCTCTGTGCTGCCAAACCTTTTGGTCCCGGATTCATTTCCACTGCTGCTTTATCTTTAAAAGCGGTGAACATTAAAGAAAATACAGTACCTCGATATCCAGAAGTCGTAGGTTATCAACACTCGTTATCTTCAAGTTATTGGATGAAAAATGGAGTTTACTAAATGCTGTTTCTATGAAGATTCCTAGGTCAGGTGAAATCCCATCTTTTCTGACATCCCACTGAAGGCCTAACCACACCAGTAGCTGAAGATTGTGCGGTTGAGCTAAAACAGCATCTAATAAAAAAAACAAAAAAATTAAAGTTATAGGTTTTGATTGCATTTGAAAAGATTTGACACAACAAGTAAAATGTGATAGTATAAACCCCGATTATTCAACCTTTGTGAGCTGGTGGCCAGTGTCTCTCTGTTTGAGACCAGCGGCGGGCTGACATAATCTGTGTTCTTCCAGTTTATTAGCTGTAGTTTTTCAACATCAATATGATAGACATTTGTTTTGTAAAAAGGAAGGAATGCTGTAGCATGGGAAACGGTGGGTAGTAGCTCACTAGATACAGTGAGCTACACTCAGAAAAAGTCAGATTCTTCAGTACAATGGCGTATCCAGGGTGTGCTCTGGATTTTTGTTTTGTTTTATGAACCTATTTAATTTCAGTTTGTATAGTCGATCTCAATCTGTTCACTGCAAAGTGGAAGCATTTTCACCGTACCACATTACTTAGAAGCGAATAAAAATCAGTGCCTGATAGTGCTAATCAAATTGATAAAATAATCATTCTACTGCAACTTTTTTTTGTTAAATGATCATACTGTACATTGCAAACTCAAGTTCTAAGATTAGCTGGGAAGCTTAGCACATTCTGAATAATATATGGATTCAGAATAAATAAGGAATAAGTTGCAACATGGAGGTATTACTATAATACCTCCATGGTTGCAACAACAGCCAGAAAGATCGGTCAAATTTTAACATTTTTTTTAAAAAAGCAATGTTTAAAAAAATTGGTCCAAACATAATGTAACATGTTTTTAGTTTTTTAAACGAAGATACATTGAAATAAAAATGCTTAAAAATTATAGATATATTATTTAGAACATTGTGTTCTAAAGAAAATAAACTACATATATTTAAAAGAACAATATTAAGAAATAACAACAGCACTTTTAAAACTATAACATTTATTAGCTCTCGCATTCATAATTTATGTGGAGTGTTTACTGCAGCATTTATTTTTTATACTATTATCAATTTTGTTATGTAAATAAGAATTGTAATTCCGTAGTTACAATTGAAATAATAATATGAATCATAGCATGTGCAATAAATTAATGACAACTACAATGTTTTTAATGTTTTTTTAGTGAATTTTAAATGTCCTTTTCTTAATATTAAATGTTATATTTGATTGTAAATAGTGAGCAATTAGCCAAGGCTACAATTCAATTTATTTTGAATTTCTTTTTTCTTTTAGTGTTGAATAAATACTGTATACCATGAACAATTCGTCCACAAGGTGAACTTCAGCAAAACAAAGTGGCTAAACCTTTTATTCATCACATTTTGAATATTATGAACTATTTTTCAACCTACCAATGGGCAAATAGGTTATGATTCAGAAGTACTGGAATAAGGGAAATTATACAGTATATGAAAACGCCTATGACCTCAATGAATTAACCATACATAACTATTGATACCTAGATCAAGGATGACATAAATAGATGTACAATTTTCATGAAGTGTAGGGGATGGGAGGTGTTAAGCCGGTGAGAAAATTAAGCACCAAGCTACAGTTCAAATAAAAATGTTAACAAACCTTGATCATATTTGAGAACTACACCTAGAAGGTCATCCAGGATGATCTCCTGTACTTTCACAAAATTTGTGTCCAACATAAAATATGATTTCTTTGGGTCTGCTTCTTGACCGAAGGCAACGTGAAACAGACGTGTCTGACTCTACAAAAACAAATATTTGTTTTAACACACATTACTTCACCGGATCATCCACTATCTGAGACTTGGAGCATCAAATTAATCATTGACTAGTGTAATACAAAAATAAAAACATTGAAATAAACTTTTTTTATATATATTTTTTTTCATAATTCAAAAGCAATTCAAAAACAAGAATTTTTAATTTAATGTCTAACTCCATCTAATGAATTTGATGGAGAGAATAGGTGTTAGTTGAGATGAGTAAAATGAAAATGTTTAAGTAAAACTGTAATACCTGTAGGTTGGCGGTGGTCCTGTGGCATTTCTCTAGCCAATCTGGACCATACTGTTTTTGGAATGCATGTAACATATGGGCTAGAAACAAAACGAACAGCATTAATAATGAATACACATATAAAATAAAATTAGTTTTAGCCAAACTGATCAAAGTCAAAACTCAGTAGAAAAAAATCCAATATTATAACAAACCTAAATAGATCCTCTTGTGATTGGTGGATCAAATATCATGTGACCTTTGGTATTTACATTATTTAATGGTAAAATAATCCATTGCTTAATTTATTTTTGTTTGTTTAATTAATTTTGACCTCTTTGACTCAAACTATTTGCTGTAAATCTATGATTATGATTATGTTAATGTCGGACACTTTTTTCCAGAAGATCAAATCCTGGCTAAAAAATGATGTTACTGGACTTTTAAGAAATCTTATTTTTCATAGATTATCAAATTAAAAGAATCTATGGTATACTATTAGTATAAAACAAACAATTAATGTTTTTTGAGTGCAATGGAAAGAATATTCATTCACTCTGCTAAGCCTCATTTAATGGAACAGTCCATCTTTAAAATTATTGAAAATATTCTTCACATTGCATTCGTATACATTCATTATTTGTATACTATTACTAACCAATGGTAATCAGCTATTGCAACAAAAAAAATTAAAATTAAGTTTTCTTTTGCAATGCAAAGTGGACAAATATGTATTTAATCAAATGATTTTTATTTAATGGACGACAGGTAAGCATGCAGCATTGAATGATGCATTGGAGTTTTGGAGTTGAAGGCATGACATATAATTGATGATTATGTTACATACAAAGCTGTGAAACAGTTAGAAAATTTGTTGTAGGAAAAGTTACAGAGTTTGCCATTGTTTACCACATGACTTCTGCTGTCATGCATGACTGAACACCAGGGCAGATATAAGGAAGTGGTTGAAATTCATCACAAACTGCTCTAGGCCTACAAGCTTAACTATGAATGATAGACCTCACAGGAATGCTTCCATATCTACTAATATCATCACAATCTGCTAGGCCTAGCTTAATGAATGAAAGACCAAGGAGGTATAAAAATAAGAAATATTGTTATACCTCCTTGGAAAGACCTTCAAAGATTTAAGATATTTTATTTCCGCCAGCATCATAAATTGCTAGGCCTACCTTAAGAATTACAGGAACTAACTACCATAACTATTAAAGCCCCATTCCCGCCAAAATTTCACTAAAAAAAGATTTTTTTAAATAAAAAATCCATATGCATTTACTCTAATTATTGTAAATCATGTAATGGAAACATACTGGCATAAATTTTAGTTTTACGTAAAGGAATAAAAAAATTGAGATTATTTTTCATACGAGATTACCATTTATCTCGACGACTTCTTCGTTACTAGGCAAATTCAGAAGTTGTAGATTGCATCCACTGGAATGCTTTTGCTTTTGTCTATACTATATAGTCTATAAAGTGCGCCCTCTCTAATGAGAATAGTATTTGTACGGCATCCCGCACACTGTGGTCGATTGAGTAGGCCTGAGATATGTTTGTCTAATTGTCAAAATCTTGGTCAGAGTCATTTCTTTTAACAAATTTCAAATAATTCCAATGAAATATTATATTTCACAAGTGTCAATACTAGCAATGAAAAATATCATGTTGGCCATTTGTATGTCTGATAACTAACTACCAACTATGTAACAACATGAATGTATTGTCCAACTTCTATCAACTATGTAGAAACATGAATGTATTGTCCAACTTCTATCAACTATGTAACAACATGAATGTATTGTCCAACTTTCATAACAGAAACTAAGTTAAGGTAAGGCTACGCCTAGCCTAGCAGTGTTGATAGGCTAATGTTTCTGGTGCCTACAGTACTTTGTTTCTTTGCGGACCTATCGCAAAATCAAACATAAAAAATTCATCCACGTTAATTTTTTGTGTGGAGCCCAAAAAAAAAAATCAAATTTCAGTCTTATTTTACATTTTTTTCATGTTCAGGCATGTTTAAATTCAGTTAAAATAGCAAATTTCGTATTATATTTATAATTTAATATAACATATATAAAAACCACATTTTTCTTAACAACTGAAATTTTGCTGGGAATGGGACTTTAACTCATGACTAAAAGTAATAAATATTAACTTCTCTACATTCTTCCAACCAAAGACATTAATTCTACTCACTGACTTCGCTTAGCCTAGCGCTGGATAGCAATGTCCATTTTTTGGTTTCATACTCTGACCGTCCGGACATGTCTGGCAACTTAATCTGGGCACTTTGGACGAAACAACACGTCACTAAGTCAATGATGTCTGACCACTGAAAAGAACCCTGAAAATATTTTTTAAATACATTATAAAATAAATAACATAAAATGCTTTGTCGTTGGCTGAGAGTATTGTTCCTGCATCTTGTACTGATGACATTGTTGCAGTTTGATCACTTCGCTCCTCAAAATAACCCTTATATTGAGAGTTAGAGGGGACAATGTTTGTCTCCATACGTGTCTGTTATATGTTGTAGTTAAGTAGGGTGGCGCTGCACTGTGGCTACTGTGGGACCCAAGGGCCCCGCCCAAATTTCCGATTTTCAATTAGAATAAAGACCAATAAAGAATTATTGTTTCATTATTGGCCTTTCCTAGCAGTACTGAGAAAAGCCATTGTTTTTGTTCTGATTCTTTTTTCCTTTTTTCTTGTATATATTTTTCCTATCTTTTTGCACTGTTTTTTTCTGGTTGTCACTTTGGTCACTTCCCATGCTTAGAATCTTTCCGTGCTTTGCCGAAGCTTAGGCCATATATTAAGGATATGCCTCCTCTAATATTTAGTGTCAACCTATCATGGGGTGTGCGTGTGAGGACCAATTAAAGTGATTTAAGGTCAAACAGTCTACACAGGATAATTCAGAAACCTGTCAGTTGATCTGAATGAAACTTACGGGAAAGTTTAATCAAGTTACAAGGAAGAAAATTTTATGTGTTTGTTTGAGGGTCTTTTCAATTTTTGAGGACCCAGACCTTAATATCTCTTTAAAAAAAACCAATGGGTCTAAATGAAACATTCTATAATACTTTGTAAAGGTCTTGTAAAAAATGATTAAATTTTTGTGACGAACATTAACAAAGTTACAAAGAAGAAATTATTATGTGCTGGCGACAAATCAGTCAAGGGAGTAAATTTGAGGGTCATTTCAATCTTTGAGGACCCAGACCTAAATATTTCTTTAAAAAAAAACGCTGGGTATAATTTAAACCTTGTCAAGGTCAAGTAAAGAAATAATTAAATTTTTGTGACGATCCGAAGTAGGGTGTACATCTGATGACCATTGAAATGAAAACGTCCCAGACCACATATTTCGAAAACGGATCAACTGATCTGAAACATTTGGAAAAAGTTTAACCAAGTTACAAGGAAGGTAGTATTATGCATTGGCGACGAATCAGTCAAGGGTGTAAATTGGAGGGTCATTTAAATTTTTGAGATCCCAGACGTAAATATCTATAAAAAGTTTTCAGTGGGTGTAAATGTAACTTTTTATAATAGTTCGTAAAGTCCAGTAAAGAAATGACTGAATTTTTGTGAGGATCTGGCGTAGGGTGTGGACCATTTAAAGGAAAACGTCCCAGACCAGATGTTTCAAAAACGGGTCAACTGATCCGAATGAAACTTTTAGAAAAGTTTAAACCAAGTCACAACGAAGATATTATTATGTATAGGGGGACAATCCAGGCTAGGGTGTAAATTTGAGGGTCATTTAATTGCTTACGTCCCAGTTATAGATGGATAAAAATGACACTGCAGAATAGTTTTTCATGGCGAAATGAAGAAATGATCCAATTTTGGTGACGATCCGCAGTAAGGTGTGGATATGAGAACCATTTAAAGATTTTTTGTTGACAGTTGATTAAATTATTTAAATGCAATTTGAGTTTTCTAAAGCGCTTAAACAAGGCCTCAATCTCCAAATGAGGAGAAGCGAGCGGTAAGGTAAGGTAAGGTGCTTAAACAGCTAGGTTAAACTCAAAACTGCCGTGATATTCATGAACAATTTTTGCTTTCAGTCACTGAATCACTATGAACTAAAAATGCACTTTCCTATGCAAGGTCGGCACATAATTTTGCGCAATGGTTATGAGTCACGATGTACCTCGCTATTACCATTGCAGCCATAGTTGAAATCTCACTAATAACGTCGCAGTGAACTATTTTTTTTTCACTTCATTAAAATTACATTGGTTTTCGGTGTTTTTTTTTTTACTTTATACCTTTTATACAACTTTTATTTTTGTTGTAATTTCAACTTCAATTCTCATTTTTAAAGCAATGGGGAAAATCCCTATGTTCTGTTGTTCAAACAGACATAGTAAGTCTAGTTATTTTTTTTAATTGTTTGTATACTTTTCACATCAAAATGAACAATCAAGTGATTATTCTAGGTGGTCAACATTAATCCAGGTGGCTAAAAGTATTGTGGTCAATGTTAACCCAGGTAGTCAAAAGTTTCCCAGGTAGTCAGCAGTATTCCTGGTGGTTAACAATATTCTATGTGGTCAAGGACATTCGTGATGGTCAACTTAATTAACAAGAAGCATACTTACCATAGCAGCCATGCGGCAGAGATGAAGGCCCATTAGGTAGTAAAGTTGACTTGACATTTCATTAAGGACATAGTCCCAGTTAGAATTCATTTTGAGGCTGTTGGCCCTCAATAGGCATTGGTCAAGCCTACAAGGATAAAAATAATTTAAATGTGAAAATTACTACAAACAAATCTCCATTACATTACTGTCTCTAAATTTCACTGTTTCCTAGAATAGAACACTCCAGGGAAAATGTGACCATGAACAGTGGAATGAAACTTTGGCCTCTGATAATAGAGGTTTGGTTATCGAATATAGGGCCTGTTCAAGCGAAAAAATATCCGTGCGAATTACCAGTTAAATTATCGGTACATACTTTCTAAAACTGCTCGGGCACTCGCCTAATTACCTTACCATCTGAATTATCTGTAACAATTTTGAAAATCAATTAGCATTGATGACCTTACACATTTCCTTTCAGATTAGTTTCATTACATGGTATTTGACATAGGCTAAAATTTGCTCAGATGGTCAACCACCTGCTGAGTGCTCAGCGTGATTAACTGGTGAATTGAACGAAATACGGTTGGCATCTTTCGCTCAAACAGGCCCATAAAGCATCCAACAGGATTGACTTCACTAGACTGACCACCTTAAAAACTCCATTGATCTAACATGCATTAACAATCTTGATTTTCGGTCACAATGAAACCATTCACAATACATACTAACCCCTTCAGAAGAACTACTGCATTGTGGGGAGGTTTATCCATCATAGCTAAGTTAAGCATGATCCACTTGCAGAGTGCCATCAACAGGTGACTGTGCATCTCCATGACAGTCTCCCCACCAGCAGTTTTCTCTTCTCCTTGCCTGATACTCTTTATGTAAATCTTGAAAAAAGTGAAGAAAACAAGCGCATGTAATAAAGTGCGTACTAATCAAGAGGCTAATTCTTTTGGTATGTCAATCAAAATAGAACTACACTACCCTAGCCTAAAAAAGACTTGGTAAAAAAAGACTTAAGGTGCAAAAATTATGAGACAGGAATCACAAATCCATCTCGCTATCTGTGTATGCGTAACAATGTGATGCCATCCATTGTATGTCAGTTCTGTGAATCCTGTCAAGGTTTCCAAGATATTCTGTTGGCTGACTTCTGTTGGCTCAGTGTGTGCTGGCTTAACCCACAAGAGAATTGAGGGTCTCTAAATTGTCAGCTCTCAAATAAATAAAACCCTGTCAAGACTATCAATAAATTTGACATATAGGCACATCATGACTATATATATGGGCACGTCATGACTATATATGTGCACGTCATGACTATATATGGGCACGTCATGACTATATATGGGCACGTCATGACTATATATGGGCACATCATGACTATATATGGGCACATCATGACTATATATGGGCACACAATAGTTTTTTTTTCAAAGAAAATCTGCTAGTGTGGACAGAGCTTACTCATGGACTTGGTTTATTTATTTCAACTTTATTTCACGAGGGTAGCTCTAACAGCTGCACTACAGTAGTACAGCTGACTTGAAGAGGCCCTCGAAAGAAAAACAATGCATAAAAATATATACAATACATTAAGAATCCAAGTAAGTAAAAGCTTCATTACGGTAAAGTTCAAAAACAATATAAAAAATAAAATATTGAATAAATATTGTAACATTCATTAAAAATACAATAAACTTTAAAATTCATTATAAAATTACAAGGTGATAGTTAAAATCAGAATTTTATTGCTTATTATAGAGTATCAATGTTACCACACCAAATTCATTGAATGAACCACCCAAAATTTTAGCAATTTTAAGAACTAAACAGAAACGCCACCAACTTTAAGAATGATGTCTGGTATGAACTCACCTCTAAGGTGTGGACTGTGCTCTCCCACCAGATTGGCTGGTCTGCAACAGACTCCAGGTCTTGTGTCAGCAGAATGTGGTCGACTGCTTCTCGTAGTCTTTTCATCTCTATCAGCAGCTTCACTAGCTTACAGTTGAGGTAGTAGTCACCCTTATTTTGTGCCTACAGAGACGGAAGGGGGTAATAACACATGATGAATTAGCAGTAACAGTTAAGATGGAAGTACCAATACATTCAAAAAATATACTGTCTGTGTGAAACAACTTGAAAAATATATTCAATATTATAGTTTGTACATTTAATGGTAATATTAGCATTCAACTAATAATTTGAAGGAGAAAAAAACATAAAATCATTGACTATACCACTATTTACTTACAACAAAGTAATCAATAACTCCAACTTCTGAACAACATCTAAGATAAAAAATAAAAATGAGGACTTACCAGTTTGTTTCGAAGATAGCTTTCATAATCTGGTAATTTTTCTGTTCGTCGGAAAATGTTTTCCTAAGAAAAAAATATTTAAATATTTTGTTTAGCTATGAGAAATCCACAATTTATAACTTCATAACAATGTAATATATAATAAAGTATATATAAATATAAGTAAATATATACAGTAATAAATATTATTTTTAAAATATTTATTTAATTCATTTATTTTAAATATTTATTTACTTTATATTTTTCAAAATTCTTACAATATAATTTCTAAAAATTCATTGTTTATTATTATTGTACTTGTTACTTATTATTTTCATGACTACAATGAACCATTATTTTTTTTTTTAAATTAATGGTATATAAATTCATTATACAATGTTTTATTTATTAATTTCAATTTGACACTGCCATAAGCAAAGGTACAAATCTTTATTCAACGTTTAAACCTTCATGTATGCAAATTTCATGCGAGGTTTTTTGTGGACACTATTAAAAATACATGCTTAAATCATGGAGGAATATCCGCCATGCTTAAATACGGTACACAGTGGCGTAAGTTATTATAATGGGTTTTCAGCAAGGGTTCATAATAAAAATAAATAAAATGTCTAAAAATTGAAAAAAAAAATTAAATTAAATAATAAGACACGATTCAAACTCATGACCTTTGGTTTCCTTATTCCCTTCTGAACACATATCTAACCAACTGCACCATCCATGTGACGTGTCCTATTAGTGGTAATGGCAGTAATGTACAGTCCTTGCTGAAACCCCTGTTTTGTAGGTTTGGGGGCATCCTGGGGTCAAACTTAAAAAAAGGGCCATGAACATTTGTTGGACATAACCTCTTTACGAAATTTTCGTCTGTTTTTATATAGCGAATTCCTTTTCAATACTAAGTGCGTCTTTGCCTGGTCATTGGGTCTACATGCTTAAATGTTGCTACCGTAATCAGAACAGGAGCAGGCAACCCCACTAGTGTCCATTTATATTCCTGGGTGGAGCAATGCACATAAACAAATAAATATCATCAGTACTTTAACTTAAAGTTATTCAACAATCATAATCATAACCTTGTATTTATCCTTACATTAATTTTATGAACATTGATGTGAGTGGGATAAAATCGTTCTGCCCTCTCAACCCAATATCGCAACTTTTCAACATCATAATTTGGAATGGTACAGCCAAGAGATGCAACTAAAAAAGTAACGAAATCAATTATTTTAACACTAGATACACAAAAATATTATTAAACAAAAGTGACATAAAAAAAAGTATAATGATGCTTGCCACTCAGTAGTGATATTTAACAATCTACTTTGTCACAGCTGACTTAATTTAATAAATTTTTGTTTAAACACTTTTTATACAAACATGCAAATTACTTACTTCTTAGTATCAATTCTCTTTGAGTGTCATTTAATTCCAATGATTTCTTGTAACAATCAATTGCTTTCCTATAATACTTTACACCCTCATACAAGTTGCCAAGCAATTTATGAGCTCTGCCATCGTTGTGCTTAACAGCTAGGTAGCTCTTTGCCCATTTTATACCTAGAACATACTCCCTAGCTTCCCAGTAAAGTGTAGCAAATTGGTATCCATGTAGTTGAAGCTAGTAAAAAAAAAAGTATGTCATTTATTGTAGATTTCTTGTATACATCTCTCTCACATTCAAATATTGCTTCTGTATACGTTAAAATTAAAAAATTATGAGTCAATTTGTTACATACGGGACATGTTAATTTGCATAATTAATTACTTAATCAGATTTAAATGTGTTCTGAAATTATTGCTACTATTGCTTCTTTAGATCCCCACTAGCAAAAATCTGTCCTATTACACATCAAAATATAAAATGTCCCATACATCACGGTAGCAAAACAATTAAAGTGATTAACAACCTTGGCATTAATTAACAATATCATTTTTGTCTTTTTAATTTTAGCTTCAAGGACACTATAATGTTTCCTAAATTTGTATAAAGTTTAAAATTTAACACCAAAGGGGACATTAGCTTGGACCTGCCCAAAAAGAATGGTTCTTGCCATCTGGTACTGAAGGATTTTTATTTTGTTGTTTATATTTTGCTACAATATAGCAATTACTCTCCAAAGCAAGTCATCATAATTACTAATATACACTACAAAACCACTAAAATCTGCCAATTCACTTTAAAAAAAATTTCGAATAAAAAATCAAATCAAAATTGTCTTAATAACTCAAAAAATTTATTATGACAATTTGAATAATGACTCAGAAAAATATGAACACTTAATCTATTCAACTTTTATTTTTTTCACCAACATTAGGAAACAGTTAAAAATCATTCTTGAAACCTATGTTACGATGCGTTTATAAAATAAAATTCTCATGTAAAATGTTCATGTAACTATTATTCACATTGCAAATATACTTTCACTGTTGCTCTCCACAGTAGTGTGCAGACAATTTTCCTATAAATAATACACTAAAACTCTTTAGTTACGAACGAAAAGATTACCACTTGTATGCACTTGTAACCTGCAATAAAAAGGTTCTTAGTTAAATATTCAAAAATGTATCGGTAAAAACTGATAATGAATGTTATAAGGAAGTGTAACGTATTTTACATCTCCAACAAACAAACAAATAAACTCATTTTTTAAAATATTCCGAAATTCTTAAATGCCAACATCTTAAACCTGTCAAAAACATTTATCTACGAAAACATCGAGTATTACTATACCAACATTTAACCAACCAAATAAAAATAATCCTGTTTTAAACACACCCAGAATTTAAGCAATAAACAAACATGCTACCAACGAACTTTTGGATCTGCAATCTAAACGCAAAACCCAATAATTTCATTAACTTTTTAGTCAGCTTGAATCTAAGCTCTTGTATCCATGGTTATATACTGTTATGATATCTATAAGAAACTAACAAAAAGTGTTTAACAAATAGTGTTGCTATTAAATTAAACCATAAGATATCAAATTAAATCCCAATAAAAGCCACATAACCTACGTTACCTCCTACGGAACCTAAAGTCCCTGTTTGGAGAGAAGAAATTGAATTGAAAAGCTCAGATTCTAATTCACTGTCAAGTGTAACTTCCAAGTAAACATGTTGATGATTAAAAAACAAGCAATTGTCACATTGTTAACATCTTATTTTAAGAAAGTTTTTTTTTAATTAAGAGGAGGAGACACGAAACCTACGTTACCATTATACCGTATGTGGTAAATAATTCGTGTCCATCATTAAATCAATATTACTTACAGAATATAATCTGTCTATGTTTAAGGACTATTTGGTGCATGCTTACAATGGCTAATTTTCTCAAAATACTATACTAGGCCAAAGAATATAGCGAATTGAAAATTGAAACATTACGTTACAATATTATGAAACATACGTTACGATCTAATCACATGGTTATTAATCAGTACACTTCCAAGGAAACTGTTCGAACTGATTGAAAACTTTATTTTAGTAAAAGCAAATAGTCCTTCAAGTTTTTAACGCGATGTTTTCAGATACTACTGTATACAAATATAAAGTTATTATAAAGAAATGACAAAAGCCTTATCTTCAACTAAATTTTAGTCAGGTTTCTTCAGAAGTATAAACACGTTACTTCTACTATGCCGCAATGTAAAGAGCGTCTCCTTGCCAACCACACCCCCTCAATGTCAAATAGCAGTTTACAAAGCACGTCGACGCTTTGTCGGGATTTTAGTTAATTTTACGTAGGGCTTAGTAAATACTACAGTAACTTCATCGTGTGTTAAAAATATGTTGCAATCACCGAAGCCACCACAATTTACTTCCTGAAGTGCAGATATAATGCTATTAAATACACCCAATATCTCGCATGCTGCATCGACCGTTCTATTTTTGGCTACGTTGGTAACGTAGGTTTCATTTCTTAAGTATACGGGCGACAAAACACCCCTTTCTTAGATTTTTTCTTTAAACTGGTGATTTATATTGCCCTAAAATTTACCCAGGAAGTAGAAAATTAGTCACTTTTTTTTTTTATTAATGATGAATAATTCATTTTTAATTGAGCATGCATAATAATATGTCCAACTGCATGACCTGGTAACGTATGTTTCATCAAATGTTGCGACACAATTAAGTCGGAAAAAAGGTATTCTTTAAGGAATATGATCATGTTGATTAATTTTTTTTTCTTGTAGGCAATAAACAAAATCTGTTATATCTGATTTTAAAGTGACACACCTCCTTATTTTAAAATTATATATCAATATATTTAAATTTAGTGATTTGTGACATCAATGCATTGTCCTGTTTACAATATTCAATGAACCATATCTCCAAAAGTAATCACACCTAAATGCTGAAATTTCAGGGCATTCTAGCTTTACATGTTGTTACCATGTATCAAAAGTGATATTTGTCATTTACCTTTCGTAACTTTTGATAAATAATAAATAAAATGTTGGCAACACACTATTTGGCTAATTGGTAAATTTTAGTGGTTTTGACCCTGAAGTCATATTGATTGTTAATATGGGTTTTATATGCAATTACCATATGCATATAAAACCTTGATTGAAGCCCCCAGATTCTTTTTTTTTTTTTTTTTGCTAACTTTGGACTACCCAAGTCAGTGCATTACAGTGGGATGCTACTAGTAGTACTCTAGACTAGCATTGTTTTAATTACCATATGAGTTTCCTGTGTTAAAAACATGATTTACTATACTATACTTCTTTATAAAAAATAAATTGTATTTTATTAATAAGAGAAACCTGTATAATCGGTACCTGGAACAGTAACACTACGAAAGTACTTATGCTTCTGCACTGTAATGCATAGGCTAATATTTTAATAGTAATACACTACATAGATAGGCTTTTCTTTTTCCATCTTGACTTCAGAGAGGTCAAAAACATTTTTTAATTTTTTTTTCAATCATATAGTGGTGTAGAATAGTCTTTTGAGAACATTTTTAAAGAAAAAATAAATGTGATACGACCCTCCGTTATGGAGTTATGAAATTTTAGGTAACATGAGGACAATAATTTAGCCTCAAAGCTTATCTTATTTCTGTTGGTTACGCACCACTGACTTGGGTTGTTTGTCATCACTTCAAGA